TGGCAAGAAGTGTTCAGCAAAGGGTGGTCACTACTGAGCAAGACACCAGCTGAAGCAGGTCTAAGCTTGCTAAGATCTGGATCCCTCAGCACAGGAAAGACATGGACCTGTTGGAGCAGGTCCAGAGGAGGGCCACAAAAATGATCCAAGTGCTGGAGCACCTCTCCTGTGAGGAAAGTGTGAGACTTGGGGCTGTTCAGCCTGGAAAAGAGAAGGCTCCAGGGAGACCTGATTGTAGCCTTTCAGTGCTTAAAGGGGGCCTACAGGAGAGCTGGAGAGGGACTTTTTATCAGCAAGGGTGTGATAGCAGAAGGGATAATGTCTTCAAACAGAAAGAGGCACATTTAGATTAGATATAAGAAAAGCCTTCTTTACTGTGAGGATGGTGAGGCACTGGCACAGGCTGCCCAGAGAAGCTGTGGCTGCCCCCTCCCTGGCAGCATTCAAGGCCAGGCTGGATGGGGCTTTGAGCACTCTGGTCTGGTGGAAGGTGTCTCTGCCCATGGCTGACGGGTGGAACTGGATGATCTGTGAGGTTCCTTCCAAACCAAACCTTTCAATGATTCTATGAAGTCTAGAGAAACCTCTTTTGTATTTAAGATGTTTTCCTACCAGGAGGAACTAATTTTATTTATTCTGTAAGGCTGCTAGATTATTCAGAATAGGAAAAGCAGTGACAGTATGAGCTCCTTTAAGAGTGAAAGACCACTCCATTCCAAACCTTCAGCCTGCAAAGCAGGTCTTCCAGTAGAGCCTGGCAGGCACTGAAAGTCCTTTGACTAGAGACAAACTTGTGGATTTTTTTTCCTTGTGTGGGGTAGAGGTGCATATGGTTTCCAGGCAACAGAGGACGCTTGGTGATACTTCTAAGCTGCCAGAGTTAAGTGAGAGCTTTAAACAAAAATGTTGTTTGCAGGAAAAGTGTAAATTTCATGAGTGGCATGAAATACAGCCTGATCCCTTTTGCAGCAACACACTTGGAAGACTGCACAAGCCTTGGACTGCATTTCCCCCACGAGCAGGCCGTCTTTCATTCTTTGTTCATGCAGCTGTTACCACTACTAAGATGTCAGAATATGTAGAAATGGTCAGTTTCTGGAGGAAAAGCAGCTGCCTGAAACTCCACATGGGATCACTTTGGCATTTCCTTAATAATAATGCTAGATTCTTCAATAAAACCTTAAAGATCACTTTCTTAAACCCTGCCTTTCTGAGGAGGGAAGGTGTGTAGCTCCAATCGTTGGAAGGATTAAAAACCTCATAGAGTTTACAGTAATTGCCAAAGCTGGATAAGTAGTTGCCTGCAGTGAGTAAAATGCCTTCTTTTACATTCCACCTAAAACTGAACTGTAGAACATGTAGTTGGACCTAGTTCTCACCACATCGTATGTACCTTGTTCCAAATGCTGGAAGCTGATGCATTTCAAGGTGAACATCTACATGTATGGATTTTAACTGGTATAAAACATGGCTGGATGTCTTCGGGCATTTTTCGTCTTTTAGCTTTGCAGCATTATCCAAATCCTTAGATTTCTCTAATAAGAAAAGTTATTTTGGACATTTCTGATACCTCTTAGATGCCATGTGCCTCTGGAGAACTGCAGGTTCAAAGGACTTAAATAATTTATTTGTATAAAGAGAGTGTTGGAAGAACAAGCTAACCCTCAGAAAACTGCAGTTACCTGGTAGATACTGTGATCTCTGTGTTGGGTAGAATGATTTTGTATTTCCACTAAAGGTCAGAGCACATTACATGTTCACATTCTCGTATTTCACCAGAAAACTTAAATGGTGTGTTTTGAAGGGCAGTTTATAGTGAAGCTAGCCATTTTATAAAATATTTCAATTTGTCTTGGAGGAGGAGAGAAGATAAATGTTCCAAATCTGCAAAAGTAATTTAACAAAAAAAACCAACAAAACATTTATCTGCCGGTCACGTTTTACAGTATATCAAACAGTGAAGGGCTGGGCGGCAATGGAGCCTCAAAGTCACACGAAGTGGCTGTGTGCAGGTGAGTTGGAAGAGCCTGTGGCACTGTGCAGATTTACAGACTACTTGTCATGGGTGCAAGAGCCCTGCAGATGAAGGCAACACTCACTGTATTTAATTGTACTGAGCCGTGCAGATAAACTGAAGCCAGATTTGGAAGATTGCGTAGTGTAAAGATTATGCACATTTCTAGTGTGTTTAAGGAGAATTCCTTCTATAAGTATCTATGCAATAGTTGCATTTTGAACCAAGTTGATTATTCAAATTTGGAACCACTTGCATTTTTTATTTAAATGCCTGTAATGGCAGGGAGACTTTGGTCTCATAACAACTTCAAACTGCAGTGGCTACGGTAATTTTACCAACAGTATTTAGAAATACAATCACGATGGATTTTTTTTTTAAAAAAAGTATATGTTCTAGTGAGAACTGAGAATGGAGTGTTTGCTGGTGATAGAATTAGAAACAGGAAGGACTCAGTGCCTGTGAGAGAATTCCACAAAACAGACTTGCCGGTATCAAAGGGCAGGATGTTCATGCTTATTTGACCCAATTTTTCTAACATGCCCATTGACACAAGATTCCTGATTCACATTTTCTTCAGTTTGGGCACAGGAACCCTGATTTCAGTGTACATTTTAGTGGCATGGATTTAATGCACAAAATGGATGCATACAGATACTTTAAGCTTGAAAAATTTTTGTCCTGGTGTGGATTGTGTAGAAGATTCTGAGCAAGTCACTGCAGTATTTTTTTTTCTGTGTTTGCTAATGAGGATCATTCTTCATGCTTTTATCAAGATCAGTGTGGTTGTTTTACTAGATCACAACTATACTTTGGCCAGTGAAAGCTGATTAGAAAAGCCTTGCTAGAGTCTGAAAACCAGATGACAATGATACATCAACATTTAAAATGGACTTGGAGCATTTGTTACAGCTGCTATTACCTGACTAAGATAACTTTGTTAAAGTAATCACGGGAAAAGGTTTGATGTTAGTGAGTACCTGTTCACAGTAAGTGAGTTACATTTGTATTTTAATAAATAATTTCATGCTGTTTTAGCAGAGACTATAATGCCGTCTTCAGATCTCACAAGAGGTATCTGACTGTCTTTCTTAGTAGCGGGGTAATACAAGCACCATAGGAATAATCCCCTTGAAATCAGTAAGGTCATGGTAGATTTACACAGGCACGTGGTAAACAAGGACGGAATTGAGAGGTGTTATAATGAGGTTTTGCTATACTGACTGTTGAAAATTCGACCTTGTTACACTTGGCAATGTTTTTATTTGAGTATGGGAGAATTTTCTTCCTCCCTGCTTTCAGTTTGCAAAGTCCTTTGTGTGCTGCTTATGTATTTTCATGCTATATAGCTATGTGGAGTGTTCTGCCTCTGCTCTGTGCATCTGCAAATTTAAGTATAGAGGCAATTAAGAACTCAAAAAAAGGTATTAGTTTTCATGATATCTCTAAGTTAAGGTTTTCTTTAAACACTGCCTTTTTAAATGTTCTTAAATATTCACGTAATTGGTATGTCAGCTCTTGACAGTATCACATGTATTTTAATCCCATTCCTGAAATAATGCCATGGGCTTGTACTCCAAGAGAAATGTACTGGTCTAGTTTCGCCTTAGCTCTTCCGTATACTTGTAAACCAGAGAAAGCTGTTCAGCCTTTTTCCTTCTGTATCCCAGTCTAAATGTGGCCATTAGCAGCTTCCTCATTACATGGTGTTGATTACAGTTAAGTTGTATTTGGGTTCAAAGTGTTATAAAAATTCATATCCCTTTTTTTGCTTTTATATCTAATGCTCTTCACTGTCTGCCCTAACAAAAGCACAGAGAAGTCTTATTAGCAGAAATTGCAAATCACCCTTCTAATAGGAAACACATGCTAGCAGATAAAAACCACACTTCAGTATTGTTCATGGCTTTTTTCTTTGTGTTTACTTTGGGAGTTCTTTGTGTTTTCCTCTGAACAACATGGCAAGGTCTGCTAACAGCTGTTTTTCTATTGTACCTGCGGACAAGCCAGTAATTGCACTTGCTTCAGTTGATAGCCTCAGCATCTCAGTGGAAGCAGCCAAGTCCCAGTCGAGGTCATCTTTGTTAGTGAATTTCCAGCTTTAACCTGTACCCAACCACGTTTCAGCACAGAGCTTCACGGAGTTGAATCAGCAAGTTGTACGAGCCTTCTCTGAACACACGTCCTGGGTGGGGTTTTTGGCCTCGCAGTACGATCATGCATCAGACAGTTGCTTCAGTTTATTGGGGTGGAGGTAAACCTCAAAAACCGGATCACTTTTTGAATTTTTTACCTGTGCAGAAGCAGTAGGTGTGATTTTACACCCTTTTATGAGGGCAGTGCATTTATTTCCGCTAACAGACCTTGCAGACGATGGAGTTAATGCGCGGCTCGCCTAGGCCGCGTTGCGCTTGGCATCCTCACCGTGGTACCCGGCTGCCCTTCGCCGGCCAGGCAGTCACACCCCGAGTGTGGATGCGTGGGACTCCCTGGCTTCCTGGGCCGTGGTGGTCCTTGGCCTCACTGAGACATCTGCCGAGTCTCTGGGGCAGGGTTGCCCTGTGATTTTCATCCCCCCCTCCCCACCCCTGTGTTTCTTCTTCCCAGTTGCTGGTACCATCTCAGTACTTTCAGTTCTGTCCTAGATTTTTTTCGGTTGTTACTACTACTTTATTTATTAATCTTGCATGGCTTCGGCCTATGTACTAGCAGAGTCAGGGTTGCCCATCTGTGTCTCCCAGAACTGCACCCTGGGGCACAGACAACTGGGGCCATAGGCGTGGTGAGGTACAAGAAGAAATGCCAAGGGACAAATAGCTATATAGTAGCAAGTCCTACATAGGAAACAATGTAAAAGGTAGCCTTATTTTTAATGGATATTCACATTTGTTGATGATTGTTACTTAATTTCTTTTCCTTTTTGATTCAACATGGTGTGTTGCATTTACTTCTGATTTATCTAATTATCTTTCTACTCTGTTGACAGGAGATTCTTCAGAATGAAAATTATAGAGAAGAAATGAAACAGAAAATCAAAGATGCATCCGAAAAGGACAAGCTGCTTCAGGCCAAGGAATACAAGGAAGGACTTGTTGCTGAACCAGTTCGCACTCATGTTAAAGGCCACGCGTCAGCCCCTTACTATGGAAAGAGCGAGCCGTCGCAGGACCCGACAAGCACTGCGAGTACCTTCCAGCCGGGCTCCTGGATGCCGCCAGGCAGTGGCAGTAGTCATAACAAATAAACAATTGTAATGTACAGATACTGCTAATGGATAAATACTTTAAGAGACAACATAAACAGCTGTTATATATAAGTGAGCATGCAATAAAGTAATATTAAAGCAGTTTCATTTATTTTTGCAGAACTGCTCAAATAAGCTTAATCGTGACAAACTACTGTAAAAGATTTGGGTCTGGTGAAAAACAGGGTGTGTTGCTACCTTTGTTTTTGACAGTTGCTGTTCATCAGTTACTCGTGAAATCCTAGGTAGAAGTTTTTCTAGCTAACTTGATTTTATTAAATAATTCTAAATTGTTTTTGCCTTGAAGACTCATTTATTTTTAAAATTCTTTTTTGATGTAATAAATTTTAGTTAATCAGTACACTTAAAACGGATGCCTAGGTTTGGGAAAATTTAAGATAGTTCTTCAGAACGTTTGTTGACTCCCTTGGCAGTGCCAGTGTGCTCTCCTCTGGCAAGTGGATGGAAAAGTTGATTTTGTTAACAGAAATCACTGTGACACTACACTGACTATGCACTGTATTAGAGACATTCTGGTAACTTAAAATTTAAGAAAAGAATTAACATATGTGATTAAAGTTTGATTTGCAGCCAGCAGTAAACATATAAAATCAGGCTGAGTTAAACTACATCTAACCACTATGACAGAGGTTAAAAGCACTTGGTAAAGCTGCTGTAAAATAATACAGGGTTTGGGATTTAAAAAAAAAAAAATTTAGTTTTTAACGCTGGTGTGTGTGGGGGGACTTCCCTAAATGACTAGATCTATTTTGCCATAGCGATGTCTGAGAACTTAAAAGTCAAAATAAAGACCACACAATTTTTTCAAAAAAGTATCAAATTTATTTATGCAGCGCATCCTTTATCACTTCTGCTCCATGTGTTTTAAGCTATGTAGGTATCAAAGGTGGAACACATACACATTTGACACTTGAGACAAAACAGTGGAGACAATCCTATGTATTTATAAAATGCCAAAATGTCATATTCTAGTAATGTTTGCTTTGACCAACAAAATTGGAAGAGGATTAACAATACTTCACATTTACTTTGTCATTTCAGTTAGACTCCCCCCTTCTAATCCCCCTTGGTGTCAGCCGACTCTGTAAGTCTCCTCATTTGAACAATGGCATTATATTAAGGTTTTAAACATGATGAAGGACTAGTTGCTAGAAAGCACAGCTCTGTGCTGCTGTTTAGAAATACAGCGAGTCTACAACCTGATGACTGCCACAAGCTCTTCAGACTACTAATAAAAATTGGGCTTTGAGAAATGAATCACTTCTGTTAGAAAAACATGAATTGTGATTAAGTTTAAATAATTTTGGCATATTTACAACACAAACCCCACTTGGACTTTTTCCAGTATGCCAGTATTTTGCAACCTGGAAGGCAAGCAGAGTTTCAAGGGCCATGAGCACAAAGATCCCCAAGGTCAGACAGTCCTGCATTGAAGGCAGCCAGAAGGTTAGCACACAGTAAGAGCCGCAGTCACCAGCGGGGACATCGTCCTCCTGACCTCTGCCATGGCTGCCTGCTGCCAGGCTCTCGGACACGGCCTGCTGGGCTGCATGGGCCTTTGGTCTCACCCCACTTATGGCTATTCTTTGAGGCATAAAAAATTTCTGAAGGCAGAAACGGATTAGTTACAGGTGGAGCATTCAGGTGATTGTTAGGGAAAGCCAGACAATGCAGTAGTGTATTTTGTAGAACACGAGTGGTTTCAGACACATGAAGAGGGTAAGAACAAGCAGTCAGGTTCCTGGAGTTTGAGATGAATTTAGGCTGTTCGTGGCTGGTAGTTGAGGAAACAGGAAAAGCCAAGTTAGGTTCTTTCTGCAGACAAGCCCCACCGTCGAAGACACTACAGCCGCCCCGCAGCTGAATGAGCCGCAGGGCCGTATGCAGCGTCCCGAAAGGAGATGAGCGCGGTACGCTGCTACCTCGCTCCGAAGCTGCCTTATCTCTGCTGCAGGTATACCGAAACTAGCCTTTCTGTAATCCAGTTTACCGTTCACGTTTGCCCCATAATTAGACAATTTTAAGTCACTTGTTAAGTCATTGCTTAGCTAAGGAAAAAAAAATCCTACCTCCAGAGCCACCCAACAGACTAGTTTTTTAATCTAACATGCGAATTTAGAAAAGCAACCTGCCCTAGAACACAAGTAGTACATTAATTATTGTAACAAGTGCCACTTGGGTAAATTAACACAAATCATCTCCAGAGAAAAAATACATTGAAGGGATTGAATTTCATACTTCAAGAAATAACTGGATCAAGTATCAAAGGACAGTTACAACGCAAAATGTACAAGTGTTTCATTAAAAAAAGTGGATTCTTTACACAAGAAAGGCCTTCCCCCCGAACAACGGTGTAAGGGCCAAGATGACCGTGGTAAGAAAGCCGTACGGGTCCTTCGCAGCCCACTCCACGATGTACTCGGCCCAAGCCTTAATATCGAGCATTTTTTCTGTTTCTCCACCGGGAAAACCCTACGGAGTAATAAGAAAACAATCTCAGGGTGTTCCGAGAAATAACAGCGCGCGTACACAGGAATCACCGTTTTAACGCCAGTCGTCATCTGCCATCGCGAGAAAGCGAGAGCGTTTTTGCCGGAGGCAGCGCACAACACGGGGAAGGCAGCGTAACGCGAACCGCGCGCCAGCCCCACCG